ATTGGCTAAGTGAGTTTATGGGAACTCCTTAGTAACTTATAATAAGTAACGTAAGTGATAAAAATAGTTTAAATAAGTCTTCCGCAAGAGTTTACGGTTACGGTCACAGCTTTTAATTATTACGCCTTTTTATGTTTTAAATGCTCGCGTAATAATTGGAAAAAAATTTATTCGCGTTTTATAAATGAACTGCTGTGATTGTAACTGCGCTTAATATCATAATTAATGTTAACAATACCGGTACGTAACGGGCTGTTACAGTGACAGACGAGACAAGTCCAGAGGTCGGTCAAAGCCGAAATATAAGTTGAAGTGCTTTTACTGTGGAAAGACAGGTCACAAGAAGCCAGACTGCTGGACCCTGCAGAATGATGAGAAGAACGGCTCTGTGAAGCCGGATCAGATTATTCCCAAGAAGAGGGAAGACAAGAGCACCACTGCGGTGGTTGCCAACTCGGATGCCGAGATATTCCTCCTTGGTGAGGATAATTATTTGAATGTTGCATATGATGACTGCACCTGGATTGTTGACTCTGGTGCCTCCTTCCACGTTACTCCACACAAAGGTTTTTTCTCCTCTTATCGAGGTGGTGATTTTGGAGTCGTGAAGATGGGAAATCGAGTGACCAGCAAGATTGTTGGTGTCGGAGATGTAACTCTGACCACGGATGTCGGGTGCCGACTTGTGTTGAAGGATGTGAGGCATGTTCCTGACATGCGTTTGAACCTAATCTCGGTAGGCAAACTTGATGATGCCGGATTTGTGAACTACTTCGGTAGTGTTAGATGGAAGCTGGCCAAGGGAATCTTGGTCGTGGCCCGAGGTAAGAAGGAAGGCTCCTTGTACGTGATGCAAGGAAAGATCAATGGCGGAGAAGCCAATTCTGTTCGAGATGAACCTAGCTTGGAGCTATGGCACAAGCGCCTTGGCCACATGAGCGAGAAAGGGCTACAGATCCTGAACAAGAAAGGATTATTGACTGGGTTGAAAGGCCAAGCGTTGGAGAGTTGCACGCACTGCCTAGCTGGAAAGCAACACCGGGTTTCTTTTGTGAGACTGGATCAACCTTGACGACGCAGGTATATTCTTGACCTCGTCCATACTGATGTTTGCTCCATGTCGGAAAGATCCCTTAGAGGAGCTCAGTACTTTGTTTCATTTATTGATGACCATTCACGCAAAGTGTGGGTATATTTGTTGAAGACTAAAGACCAGGTACTCCAATCCTTTAAAGAATTCCATGCGATGGTTGAAAGGGAGACTGGCAAGAAATTGAAGGTGGTCCGATCTGACAATGGTGGTGAGTATTGCGGCCCGTTTGATGCATACTGCAGAGCGGCCGGGATCCAACTTGAGAAGACGCCCCCCAAGACTCCACAGTTAAATGGACTGGCTGAGAGGATGAACAGAACAATTGAAGAGAAGGTACGAAGCATGTTATCTAATGTCGGGTTACCGAAATCATTCTGGGGAGAAGCCGTCAAAACTGCTGTTGACTTGATCAACCTCTCACCATCACGGCCACTTGAAGGAGAAATTCCAGAAGAAGTCTGGACAGGTCGGAAAGCGGCCTACAATCAACTGAAAGTGTTTGGATGTCGAGCTTTCGTGCATATCCCTAAAGATGAAAGGGCAAAACTTGATGCGAAGACAAAAGAATGCATCTATCTCGGTTCACCAAAATTCGAGTTCGGGTTCCGACTTTGGGATCCAATCAATAAGAAGATCGTGAGAAGCCGAGATGTGATCTTTCATGAGCATGAAAACATTCATGACATCTCGAAGCCCAAAGTTCGGGTTACTGTCAGACGTGAAGAACCCATCCCTCCTGTCCGAGCTGAAGCAGGGGGAGAAAATCAAGAAAATGATGATCAGCAACAAGCTGAAGATGACCAAGACACTGAGGTCCGAGTTGATGATGAGATCCGGGATGAAATTGATGAACCGGGTTCTCAAGCTGAAGAACAGCCGAGATATCCAACTCGAGAAAGAAGACCCTCTTCAAGATACCCATCCGATGAATACACCGTTGTTGTTGAAGACGGTGAGCCTCAGAGTTATGATGGGGTTGTAACGAGCTCAGAGAAAGAAGAATGGAAAAAGGCAATGCAAGACGAGATGAAGTCTCTGCACGAGAATCAGACTTATGAGCTGACTGAGTTGCCAAAAGGAAGACGAGCTCTGAAAAATAAATGAGTCTACAAGATTAAGAATGAAGAGAACGGGAAAAAGCCAAGATACAAAGCCCGAATTGTAGTGAAAGGTTGCAATCAGAGGAAAGGAGTTGATTTTGAGGAGATTTTTTCTCCTGTTGTGAAAATGACCTCGGTCCGAACCGTGTTAGCCATGGCGGCTTCTATGGACCTCGAGGTAGAACAAATGGACGTGAAGACGGTATTTCTTTACAGTGATTTAGAAGAAGAGATATATATGGAGCAACCAGAAGGGTTCCAAGCTCCAGACCAAGAAGACTTGGTATGTCGGTTGAAGAAGAGCCTCTATGGCTTGAAGCAAGCACCTCGGCAGTGGTACAAGAAATTTGAATCATTCATGACTGATCATAAGTTTGAGAAGACTGAAGCTGACCACTGCGTATTTATGAAGAGGTATGAGGCCGAAGATTTTCTGATTTTGTTGTTATATGTTGATGACATGCTTATTGTAGGGAAAGATAAATCGAGGATAGTCGCCCTGAAAAAGGCATTGAGCTCGTCCTTCGCAATGAAGGACCTCGGCCCTGCAAAGCAGATTCTCGGAATAAAGATTATCTGAGATAGATAGAAGAAGCTACTGTGGCTGAGTCAAGAGAAATATATTGAAAAGATTCTGAAGAGATTTAGTATGGACAAAGCCAAAACAGTGAGCACCCCCCTTGCCGGACACATAAAGCTGAACCAGAAGCAATGTCCGAGATCTGATGAAGATAAAGATGAGATGATGAAGGTCCCTTACCAATCCGCCGTCGGAAGCCTGATGTATGCAATGGTTTGCACTAGACCCGACTTGGCGTACGCTGTTGGAATGGTAAGCCGGTATTTGTCAAACCCCGGCAAAGAGCACTGGGAAGCAGTGAAGTGGATCTTCAAGTACCTCCGAGGTACGACCGACTTATGTCTCTGATTTGGAGAAGGTAAAGCCGAGTTGCAAGGCTACTCAGATTCTGATTTAGGGGGAGACGCCGACTCGAGGAAGTCGACTACAGGATATTTAATGAGATTTGCCGGAGGAGCTGTCTCTTGGCAATCAAGACTTCAGAAATGTGTTGCACTATCTACAACTGAGGCTGAGTACATTGCCGCTACTGAGGCAAGCAAAGAAATGTTGTGGATGAAGAAGTTCCTCATGGAACTCGGCCATGATCAAGACAAGTACGAGCTGGGTTGTGACAATCAAAGCGCAATCCATCTTGCGAAGAATTCAACCTATCACTCCCGCACTAAGCATATTGCTGCGAGGTATTACTGGATCCGGGATGTGGTGGAAGGTGGTGAGCTCGAACTCGTCAAGGTGCACACTGACCAAAATTGGTCCGACATGATGACGAAGCCGGTTCCAGCAAGAAAATTTGAAGACTGCTGTGAAGGAGCCGGGTTGATGCTGAAGCCGACGCATTGAAGTAGGAGGGGGAGATTTGTTGGGCTTCCTCCTTCAATGCCAAGCCCAAGCCCATTTGAGGGGTTTCCTAAAAACCCTAACCCTAATTTCCACCTCCTCTATATATACTCATTAGTTGTGGGTGGAGGCTAGGTTATATTTGAGAGGTCAGATGTGAGAGAACAAATTTGAGAGAATTATTTGACTGTTTGAGCAAAGCTTTATGCTTTGCATTTGAGAGATCTCTAGAGAGAGTTTGAGTGAAATATCTCTAGGGTAGTTTGATTATCACCATTGTTGGAGATGTTGAGTTAACCACCACATTGGTGTATTTGATTATTTGTAACCATTATCTTCATAGTGGATTTTTGATCTGGACTAGGTCCCGTAGGTTTTTACTTCTTCATTGGAGAAGGTTTTCCCACATTAAATCTGGTTGTGTTCTTCGTTTTTGTTTTGATTTTTCCGCTGCGCTGCCCGACCTGGTGAAGTTCAAGCCGAGGTATTGCCGAGATCCGAGATCAGGATCTTGTTGATTGACTTCCGCACAAAGACTATTTAGCCAATCTGAAGGAACCGATATTTCCCAACATAATTTCATAGGTTCCTATCGACTAATTAATTCGGGGTAAATTTAATATTAAGATTTTAAATCTTTTCTAAAAATAATAATGATAATATCAAACACATGCTCTCTGTACCGTGACCTTGCTATGGTCTAACACAAAATATCCAAACACAGAACATTTTGGTTCATCCATACATTCTGTTTTTACCTATCTGTAAAGCAAAAAACTTGAGCTTGTAAAATGATACTCCTTAAAACAGAAGAAAAGTATGAACCTGGCATTTTTTCTAAGATTATTTTTTTTCTCTATTTATTATATTTTCCCAATTCTCATTTCCTTTTTCTTTTGTTTTTGTTTTTGATTTTGATTTTGGACTCAGAAGCTGTCTCCGTTTCGCCTGCAACTGGATCTTTAATATTGCCGTTGAAAACTGCTGAATACTAGTTTAAGATTTAAAACAATAAACATAGTTTTCTCGTACAAGGAAAAAAATAAATATCATTTAAAACAATAAACATAGTTTTCTCGTACAAGGAAAAAAATAGATATCTAGAGTCTAGACCCATTTTATTGTTTTTTTTTATCCCATTGATGACTTCTCTTAACGGACGTTTGGTACAGGAAAAAATTTTATTTGTCCGGAAATCTCGATTTTTAAAAATATATAATTTTTGCATTCAGTTTATGATAATATCTAAAAATTTAAAATTTAAAAAAATTTAATTTTTCGGAAATCCCTCAAAATCCCGCCAGTGCCCTTAGTTAATTTAAAAATTCCTAACTTCAACAATAAAAAGAAAATCCCCACATGTATTTGGATAATCTCCACCGTTGCTATTAAATCTCCGCCACCTGCGTTCCCATGCCATTTTTTTTTCTTGATCATTTGTTGTTGTGTGATTTGGTTCAGTTAGAGAAGAGCAATGAGAACAGAGTTGAAGAAGATATCCAAGGTATGCATCTATGCCCTCGCTATCTTTAGCTTTTCGGCTATGAAGGTATGATATCTCTGATCCCAAAAAATTCTATTTTTGCTTTCCATTTTGGCGATGCAGTCTTCGTGGCAGAAATTTGATGTAAGGAATTGCCTCAATATAAAGAGTAGCGATGACAAGTTTCACTCAGATTATTCAATTGCAGGTAAAATTCGGTTTCTTCTATCAATATCAATGTGGGAGTTGACGAGTTGTTCTTCTATGTAACTGGACAAAGTGGTGGTTCTCCGTGCCTGTTTTGTATACCCTTATTTTTTTACTCTCCTTAAATAAGTTTTGAAAAAAATTCTTATAATAGAAATTATTTTTTTCATAATAAAATTAAAGAAAAAATATTTATTCTTTTACATGACATAATTTGTGTCATTTCACAACATTTTTGTTTTTTTTGTCAACTCTCATTTTTTATCTATCTCTTTCTCTATTTATTTTTGAGTTTTATAAGAGTTATGTTGTAGGAAAAATGATTGTGTAATGTTATAGAGATTCGTTTTGCGTGCCTTAATTTTTTATTTATTTTTGTTTTAAAAAGTGTGGGGCCCACAAAATGTTGTGAGTGTAGGAAAGTTTATTGTGTTATGTTAAAGGATAAAACGAAAACCCTTTATTTTTTTGATAATCTTTTTCTCTATCTTAAAATGACATAACTTTACATCTTTAAAAATGACACATTTTTTTTTTCCTAAAATCAAAAGCTAAAAGTTATTAGAAAGAGTTTTTTTAAGCTCTTATTAATTATTTTATATGTTTTTTTTTAAAACGAAGAGTCACATAAATAGAGACAAAGACTTTTCAAGAAATATGTATTTCTAGGTAACTTTTAAATTAAAAAATTTATGTAATTAACAAATAATTTTTAGCTTTTTCTTTTTAAACTTTTTTTTAATTTTAACTTAAAAGTAACTTGTGGCTTAAAAAAAGATTCCAAATATATTCTGATTATTATGATTAGACTTTGAAGATGGAACAAAAGGAAGGGATTGTGAAAAAAAATATCACATGGTCATTTAAGAAATTATAATTATATAAATTAATAAAAAAATTGAAATAAATAATTACAAAATTATAACCTTAATTTACAATTGCAATCATCTCAATGTCATATTTTTTTTTCTTTCACTCGAGAGTCGAGACTGTCCATTTCAAAAGGAAGTAACTTTGATTTGCGGTACACCAAAACCAAGCCAGAAAATTCGCCACGGGCCCCCTTGGGTCCCACCTGGTTCATTTCCATTGGACCAGCCACGTGGGTGGTTAATTTTCTGGAAAATCAAGTATTGGATTGATCAAGTATTGATTTTGGGCTTTGTATTCAAAGAGGGGTGGTTGATGGATTCTACAAACGAATTACCTGGGAAGGAAGCACCACATGTCACTGACCATGTCACGTTCACCCTTAGGTAACACACCCATCATACCCATTGTTGAAATAATATTATGTTATGTATTAAGATCTGGTTGAGTTAAAATTATTGTCATGTATATACTTTTTTTTTTAGTATAATTTTAGTTTTGGAGTCTTCTTAATTGGAAAAATGATGGAGAGTGTGGCCTATGAATGACTCCGTAGGATGTTCGTTGGAACGTGGAATGTGGGAGGGAAATCGCCAAACGAGGGAGTGAACTTAAGGGATTGGTTGATGTTGCCTTCGCCAGCTGATATCTATGTCATAGGGTATTTTCTTTTTTTAATCTTTATTCTCCTTACTAACTAAATGCTCATAATTACACTACCTGTTTTTCACAACCTTATCTCTTCTACTATTGGTTATAGTGACTATGGGCTAAAAACCCTCTGCTTTTTCCCCTCACGTTGTTCACCCTCCTTTTTTTTTCAGGTGTTGTTTGGTCCAGGGGATTCTGTAATTTTCCTAGGCAAATGAATTTGGGAATCCACTTTGTCTATGTTTGGTACACAGATTTGGGGACGTTGCCCATCTATCTCATTTGCATAGCATTGCACTATTTGGTCGACAAAAGCTAGGAATTGGCACTGTTGAGAATCAGAACTTGGAGGTGGTTTTTTGTCGATAGACGTCTAAATAGCAAAATGGTTTATTCAAGTAACCGAAAATACCCTCACTTCTTATTATTGAAGAAAGAAGCTTGTCTTGGGTAAGTCAGATCAGAACCATCTCTCACCCAGTTGCTGTTCTTCGTTGTGTGAAGTCCGATTGGGTAAGTTTTTGTTGGATCATTACTTGTAAGTTTGAGCGAAGAATTGGTGTTTCTCATGCTCCAATTTCTGGAGGAGGAGAAGTTCAAAGAGTTTGTGCACAAGTAAGCCCTCTTGGTCCCCTCCTTTTTTTTTTCCTTTTTCTCTTTTGTTGTTCTTTTACTTCTTCGTCTCTTTCTCTCTGCAATTCATGCAGGGGGGAAATTTTGATGTTAAATTATTATTATTATTATTATTATAAGGGTTGACAACTTGTGGAAATTGAAAAGGGTCATTAAAAATTAGCTAATGTATTTGTGCAGCGGGTTTCAGCTTTAGATATGATATGCTCTGGATAGTGGACTGTATTGGAAATGAGCTGAATTGATTAATAGGGAAATAAGAGGAGGAATGTTTTTCAAATTTATGTCTTAAAACTAATTTCTTTGTAATTCAAAACGCTCATAATTTCAACGTGGATAAATGAATTACAGAGTTGCGGGGCTGTGAATTCTGCAATTGACAATTAACTTCATATAATGTAGTTCCTATGTATATATGTGCTTCTGCACATTTTGTTGTCAAGCACAGATGCAACTACTGATTGTTTTATGTGACATATATGGCAACAGGTTCCATTTAAACTTGCAGCTGATAATGGAGTGGTACAATCATATTGCTGTCAAGGCCAACTCCAAATGTTTTGTGGTGTTATCAGCTACCATGATGAGAAATGGCAGCAAAGATAGAAGACAACATGGATTCAAAGAATAAAATGATATTGTTATGTCATATCAAGCGTAATGGAACCATTTGTAACAGATCCTCCAAACAGGGCATTTGCCATATATGTATTAGCAATTAGATTGAATGTTTGGTCCATCCTGTCTGTGGTCCTGTGAAGATGTTGACATATGGTTGTTATGTATTTTCAGTGTATATTACAATGAGCATGATTGTGAAATCTTAATTCTACTGATAGTATTGTGTCCTATTAATCCTGTTTGGTTCACACTTTAATTCTGCCTTCATGCTTGAAATAAATAATGGAACCAACAAAAAAGGAAATTTGTAATTGAATAGGAGGTGCACAAAAGTGCTTCATATAATTGAATAATTCACAAGTATGTAGTTGCTGAATAAGTTACAGATGAGTCATTCACATGACTATTAACATATTGCAAATAAAGAAAAAGGTACAACACAATATTCATATACGCCATTCTGCTCTTCTTGGGCACATTCAACCCCATGTATTAACTTATGAGATCTTAACTATGACTTAAATTCACTATGACAGCTATTAAGATACTCTTCATTATCCCCAGACACAAGTGTTGCCTTAACATCATCTGACATTGTATTTTGCCTTGATATTAATAGCCTTCATAGTAATAGCCTTGGTACTCCTGGTTCCTTCATCAGCTTCATCCAATAGGACCATGTTTGTGGTTGCTGTTTGGTTTGTAAGCCATCCATTCGTGTTGTGACACTCCTCATATCAGCTTCATGGTACCTGCATCAGATGAATTAGGTTAGCTAACAATTCAGAAAATCATATTCTAAAAAAGTTGTATTTGTAATTTTAAACCACTGGATAATAACCAATCTCAAAAAACAGAGGTAAATCATGTAAGATGGAAAAACCTCATGGAAATACCTACAATAAGCAATCACAACTGGTTTGTTAAAGCATGGAGATACCTGCTTAAAATATGTAATTCATAACTGTCCACTGAGTGCTATATGACCATGATGCCTTCTACAAGTAATCATATATTATGTGTTTATTTAAGGCAAGTCTGAGAAAAATTACGTTTGTAACAGAGAGGTCAAAGACAGGTATGAACATGTGTGCATTTAAAGAATTAATTCAAAAGAATGGACAGGATGTAATCAGTTTATTTATTTAAAGGGAACAATCACTCATAATGCTGGTTACAAGGATGGATAGCAGGTCTGTTCGACAACATTAAAGACCTTCTTAGCTAAATAGCACAACATACAGATAAGAATAAGACCTTCCTACCTTTATCAATATGATCTCCAATGCTCGGTCATCTCTATATCTCAGGTTCATGACAGCTTTGCCCGGTTTTGTTTTAACAATGCCAAATTGAGAACCGCCAAATAAGAATCTCAAGGAAGGCATCAAGCTCCTTGTCATGCTGATATCACATTCCTGGCTAATCCCAACAAATGATAAGGGTGGATGTAGTTAACTAACACATAATAAGGTACCCTATTAATTTCTCTAAAATTTTCTATGCATTCAGTTTTACTGTCATATTAAAAATAAGCATTAATCATGAACCATATTTCTATTTCTAAACCCGATTTTTTTGTCCAAAAATAAAATAAAGCAACTTACATCATTAACTATAATTGCTTATAATTGCTTGAAGTGTCATACTCTTTATCCAGAATCTCTCCCTACAACCAACAAAAACAGTATGTTGGGAATGTAATAAAAAATTTCGGATAGACTAATATTTTAGACTATAAAGCTGATTTAACAAATCAAAATTTTAAACTTACGGACTTATAAGATGTAATTTAAAACATCTAGCATAGACAGAGAAAAATTTCATGCAAAGCATCGAGAGAGTAAGAATATATGACTCCCATTATGAGGTGTTGAATAAATAACCAACATAAAATGATATCGAGTCATATATAATTTAAACTCCAACATAAAAAGATGTCATTTGTTCACATTGGACGTTGGGATTTGACAACTCAGTTGTACAATGACAGCGAAACAAAACATTTAAACTCAGGGGTATTTTTGTCAATTCAAATTATTTTCCCATCTATATCTTACCTCCAACCAAACATACATTTCCTAAAAGTTACTTAATTTCTCCAATAAAATTTTTTCCCACCAAACAACTTTTTTTTACATTTTCCTATCTATCTCACTTTATCTCACTTTCTTACCATTTTCCTATCAATTCTATTTTCCTAGTATTCATAAAATTTCTCTTCAACCAAACGCCCCCTCAGTGTTCATTTATCCAAGGATAGTAGGCAAATACTGGGATTCTAGGTTAGCACCGAAAAGCATTACTAGGATACCCTTTAAAAGCATTACTAGAAATTTGTGTAGGATCCTAGGATAGCACCGAGAAATTTATCGTGGTTTTTGAAGTTTGGCTTCGCTAGATGGACTGTCGTGGACGCAACCCAAAGCATTTGCATTTTAACATTTGGACCTAATCACGGCCTAGCCCACTTGACAATTTTGCCCCTGATCTTTCCATGAAATTGATGTAATGTCCATGTTAACATGTTTCTTACTCCATTGTTTTAATATAAATATATTAATTAATGACCCTTTCTTTTGATGGTAAAACCGTAAAATATTTATTTTATTTTATTGCGTTTGCACCTTAGGTTCCAAGAAATCATACCTCTAAGTGCAGGGAACGTGCTTGGGCCAGAAGACAGTGGGCCAGCAGCGAAATGGCTGAACCTTATTGGTCAAGCCTTGAACACTAACGATGGCACCAACAATACCAATGGTGAACCAGACCAACAAGGAAGCTTAAAGCCTAGGTTGAGTTTTTTGAATATCCTCTCTAACGCAAGTGAGAAGCAACACTATTATCTAGCATCAAGCAAGCAAATGGTGGGTATCTTCTTGTGTGTGTGGGTACGATCGGAACTTTACAAGCACATTAGCATATTAAAGGTGTCCTGCGTTGGTAGAGGCATCATGGGCTATCTAGGAAACAAGGTTGGTTGCTCCAATATGCTTATAAATATTATTTAGTTTCCCATGTTATATACATGAGTTTGTAATTGTGTAAAAAAGTCATTAAACCCAAAAATTTAAGTTATTAGTTGAAGGTTACATTAATAGTTTTATATTATATTTGAGGCAGGTTATATTTAAAAAAAAATTTGTTTACAAACTACACTATATTCTCTTGGGAGAACACTAATCACACTATCTTCTCTCAGGAGAACATAGTGCAATTTGCATAAATTTATAAAAAAAAATTTGTAAACGGATTCTTCTCCGTTATATTTTTCTAAAATATCCATTTACACAAGAATCTATTAGAAGGGTGGGCATTATACAAGTCCTATCTACCCACGTAAAGAATCAATTTAAAGCAAAGGTTTAAGTTGTTAATAGTTGTATACTATTTTTCGAGAAGATTGCTTATTATTTTGTTTTGATGGTTAATTAATAGGGTTCAGTATCAATAAGCATGACATTGTACCACACCATGTTCTGCTTCGTTTGTACTCACTTGGCCTCGGGAGAGAAAGATGGTGATGAGGTGCGGAGGAATTTGGACGTCTCAGAAATCTTGAAGAAAACCAAATTTTCTCACTCATTTAAAGCTTTTGGTCATCCATTCCCTCCTGAAAGCATACTGGAACATGAGTATGTCCCTTCTGTCTAATTTGTGAAAGAATCTAATCATTAACCCTCTTTCTCTCCCTTACCTTTTATTTCAAATTGGTTCATATCTACAGTAAGATTATTTGGCTTGGGGATTTGAATTATCGGTTTGCTGCTGGTTACGATGATACACACGAGTTACTGAAGAAGAGTGATTGGCAGGCACTATTAGAGAAGGATCAGGTAATTAAGTATTTTTAGGAAGGGACTAAGTACTAGCACTATTAGTTTATTATTATTAGACAAATATCATTTTATATATATAATAATAAAATAATCAAAATTTAGGAAGTGGTGATCACGAGCCGCCCTGTATACAGCATGTTATTCGTATCTCGTGTCTTTGCCTTACGATCATGTTGTATTCATTTTACATGGCAGCTAAGGATAGAACAAAAAGCTGGTCGAGTATTCAAAGAGTGGAAGGAAGGGAAGATATATTTTGCTCCTACTTACAAATACTTATTCAATTCTGACCAATATGTAGCCCAAACCTCCAAGTCCAAGGAAAAACGACGGACTCCGGCTTGGTAAGATTTGATCATTCTTTTTAGGGTTTTATAAGAGTTATATTGTAGGAAAAATGATCGTGTAATGTTATAGAGATTCGTTTTGCGTGTTTAGTTTTTTTTTTTTTTTTTTTTTGCTTTAGAAAGTGTGGACTCCACAAAATATTGTGTGTGTAGAAAAGTTGTTGGTGTCATATGAAATGATAGATGTAAATTCCTTCTTTTTATCAAAACTACTTTTTCTTATCCACAATTGGAATGTTATTATATGCATTATTGCCGTTTGTTTTGTATATGCTAAACCGTTCTTTGATACCCTGGTGATATGACTTTTAAGATATCTCCAATTGAATTTAATTTAAACCATGCTACGCATATTTAAGCATCTTCACTTGGCTGGTAATGCCATTTGCATTTCTTTATATAGCAGGTTTGCCTGTGATGTGATAACATATTTGCAACTTATTATATATTTTATAGCATACCTGATAGGCCCATCATCCATTATTATTGAATATTGACCAATGGATAGATCTTCACCCAAATAAAAGTCTAGCTCCAACAAACATATATATATATATTTATATTTTTAGAGGTAAGATATTCATACTACTAATTATTTTTATTATCAATCCACTATCTCTCTAATATAATAATAAACTCTAATGAGTACACTAAAAGTTATTTTTCTTTTTTCTTTCAGAAACTTTTCAGAGATTGTCAACTAAAAAGTGAGATCCACCGATAATTAGAATAGTAATAGATTGGTTGTAGAAATAATTAGTAATATGAATTTTCTACCTCTTATTTTTATTTTTATTTTAAAATAAAGAAACTTAAAATGATGTCAGGTTTGCAAACCGGCAATTATTTTTTATTCTCGTACCCACATCACTAGAGCCTAATTTCTTCGTAATGACAATGATTGCTTTGCTGTTCTTAGTTATGCTTTTCTTATTGTAAATTTGTTTCTAGGTGTGATCGAATATTGTGGAAAGGGGAAGGCCTAGAGCAGTTATGGTATGTGAGGGGAGAGTCCAAATTCTCGGACCACAGGCCTGTGTATTCACTATTCAACGTTCAAATGCACTTGACATGTTGCAAGACACTAACTCCCTCTAGAACCTTCACAAATGCTACCTTGTCATCATGTTGCGCGGCTAAAGTTCAAGCAGAGGAGCAGCTATTGTTACTAACCAGGGCACATAGTTGCATAGACACCGCACCTGGGTTCTGATTTCTGAGTCCATTGTACACTACAAACTATGCTGAGTACATTTTCCAAGAAAAATGTAAAACTGACACGACCACCTTGTAGAAGGACGGCGTGTCATGCGGGGCACATTGACATGGATGGCTAATGATGTTCTACTGGCCTAGGTTCAGGCTGTGTTCCTCACTTTTTATTTTGGAACACATGATTAATATTTTATGGAGTAAAGAGAACCTTGGCATGCACCCTTATGGCACAGTGAAAATTTGTTACATTTATCGGAAAAAGAGAATGTTTGGTTGGGCTCTTGAGAATGTTTGGTTAGTTTAGTTGAGCTGTTGCCAAGGAATGATTTCCATTCTCTGCTTATCGGGTTGGGGCCAAGTTTGAAATTGTAAATTGAATAGGGAAGATCTTTATCAGTAGAATGTACATTGTTATGTAACAAAGCTACAGCAGTTTAATATAATATTTATTCAATTCATTGCTACCTCTTATTTGAAAGCATTGTTGGTAACATATTTGAAGGAACTTTAGTTGGACCCAAAATACGCATTTAAAATCCAAGGTCCAAACAAATGGGCAATACAAGCCGCTGTTTGGTGACGGGCCTTAGCTGAACCCAGCTACTGCCGTTCCCTCAGTTAGCATTGTTAAAACTTAAAAGATATGGTTATTTGTTGAAGAATAATAAAAAGAAGGGAAATTATACTCTTATGCTACATAAGAGTCCTATCTCATTTTACACTCACATAAAAAGACGTGCCTCTTTTTTCTTTCTTTTTTCTTTTTTTAAAAATTGATGGGTCCCACTTAATTTATCTCACAACATGAGATAGCTTCTCTCATACAACATGAGAGAAGTAAAACCCTAAAAAGAATACTCAGTTAGTAACTTTAATACTAAAAACTTTGCCCAATTTTTCTTAATTTGAGCCAAGACAATCTGGCCATTTACCATATATTTAACAAGGATTTTATTTTTCTCCTGTTGTATAAGATAATTTGTGTCATGCAACACATAAAAAAGTGGGTGGGACCCTCCTAAAAAAAGAGAGAAAATAAAAAAATGGATCCCACCTTTTTTTTTTGTGTTGCATGAGACAATTTTTCTAATGCACCCTAAAAAAATATAACCTATTTAACAAAACACAAATCACAGTGCTGTGATTGATTGGACAAGTTATTTTGTCCCCTATTTATACCGATATGCCAATAATTAGAAAGCCTTCACCTACAAAAGGCCTTTGAAACCCAAACAACTACAAAAGTCCTTTGAGGCCAAATATACCAATAATTAGAAAGTCATCTATATCACCTCAGCACAACCATCAAGCCAAGGATAGCATGTTAACTCTGATGTAGCTCGGAGAATGGAGATGAAAAGGAAAGTCATTTGAGAGTGCAAATGGAAAAAGAAAAAGAAAATATTAGGGCTAAGAAGCGTGATGAAGTTCATTTGTGTGTGTTTGTGTTTTTTTCTTAATTGATGTGAATTTGCACAAAGTATTATGACTGAATCTGCTGAGATGTAACTGTTTAGGAGACATACTTATAATCAGTTTTTTTTTTATATGGTGAATTTAGATGAACTGTAATTTTTATTTTTTTTACATTTGTAATAGATTTATTGTTAGGATAGACTTTGTAATCAAAATTACCTTCTTCAACATCAACATCACCCAAGAAGATAAACTTGTAACTATATGAAATCAAGTTTCTAGCAATGGTGGAGACTGATGATTATTCATTTAACTATATTTATGTTGCAAAATTTTGATGGATAAATTCAATTTGTATTTTGAAACGATAATTCAAATTCAAATTTTGAAAATCATTGGCATTTATCCTCCAATTTATAATTGTTTAATATTAGTTTAATTATTGTTGGCTTTGCTAAAGAGTATGCAAGATATGCGCAAGTATACGCAACCAGAAGTAATATAGGGTGTATTTGAGACTCCAGTATCTTTCCCAGAAGGATCTTTTGGCGAAAAGTTCAAAAGCACAAAGTACAATTGCTTAAAACTGAATTTCTAAAAAGAGAGTAATAACAAAAATAAAATAAACACAATACTATCCTAAAACAGCGCTGACTACACTACTATTTTTTTTTTAGACTTTTCTGAATTAATTCTTGAGCTAAAGGATGAAAAAAATAGTGAGAAATCCACTTAAGAAATGTTTTGTTTAAGGTTTGATGTAAATTTTTTTTATAAAAAATTGTAAAAACAAAAAGAAGAGTAAATTCTAAATCAGAAAAAAAAAAGTTGGTGAAAATGTTTAGAAAAATAGATTGGGCTTCGGTTTATCTTTCCCACAGCATTAGATTGATTGCTATTTACAAATTGCTTAAATTTAATGCCCAGTTAACGGATCACTCTTGTTGATTTTAATATCTTAAAATCATTTTATCCAAAACCTTCATTTACCCATCTCTGTGCTAAATGAAGTAAGGACTCATGCATTTCAAGTCCCAAGTTACATGGTGGTTGTCCTTATCTCTAAGTGACAACCCTTGAATAATCTCTTATTCAAATCCATGTGCTTAATGCATTTTCAGAATTAGTCACCTCTCGATGACTTCTTCCTAACACAACATCTACCATCAGGCCTCAATGACAGAATGTTTAAATACAAGCATGTCATTAAACAAAGAAGAATTAAAAATTAACAAAAGTAATTAACAATCAACCATCACTGAGGTTCGGGTAACCTAGGCCCAACCTTCAAAGGTTTAGCTCATACCTATAAGGGTTGAGCTACAAAAACAGAAAATGAAATGAAAATTACATATAAAATAAAGTGCAGAAAGCTTAAAATACAGCACGAGCCCTATTCACAGGAATAGCCTCGGTACTGTACTGACAAATTCTAATCCAAACAAAATAGACTCCATTACAGTACCAGAAAACACAAAACTAGACTAAAGAAAAATGGAGAAGATGAATGTCGAAGAAGAAGGGAGCCTTACATCAACTATTCCTCCTCTTTTATAGCTCCATTCTCTCGCATGCATGGGCTTTGGGCCTCTCACCAACAACAAGCATCCACGCGCTTATTCCAATCGTGCGATTCCTTTGCAAAGGCAGTAACCGCACTCCAAAAATTGCTTCAGCCAACAATCATAACAAACTCCAGCTCACCTAATCAGTTATGGGTAGTGTTTGGCATTTTCTATTTGAATCAAAATGGCTAGGTCAGTGTTTTGGTTGAACGCTCACTTAAGGGACTATGGGTGAGGGCTAAGGCTCGATGGGTAAACCAAGATTAAAGACCCGGTGTGGCTTGATGGTTTGATTGTAAAGAAAAATTAGAATGGAAAGGTTGGGGTTATGGTTGGATGGAAGTGAGTTGGTTCATACGGTAAGGATTAGGGTTCACTAGTTCAGAATGCATTTCCAATTTGTGTCCAACGCTGCTGTTACTTTCTTTCTTCCTTCTTTCTCTTCTTTTCTTTCTTCAAATGGGCTCTTCTGACTTGCATTGTAAAATCCAGCTCACTTTCTTTTCTTCTTTTTTTTTTTTTCTTTCTTTCTTCTCTAATTTGGAAAGTCTTAATATGTGGGCCTGAAAATCAAAACACAGCCCATTAACTTTTAACTCAACAAAATTTCAACTTAATGTAATTGAGGTTAGATTTAACACAAAGTATTATTTCTTTTAGCATTTTCAGATCAATAAACATGTGTTTTGAGTCACATTTCATGGACTTATCAATTACTCTTCAAAGTTGTAATTCTGTATGTGTACCATCATGTTAATGAGATTGAACTTTTTTATACACATTTTCTCATCTTCTTTTAAACTACACCCTAACTTCTCTATTTAAACTTGCTTTTCTATCATACGAATTCCCTTCTCCTAAGATTTTTTTAATTTACACTTTCCACTATCTGGTTAATAACTTAATTAGCCTTGTACCTTTTATTTATTCGTTTAGTAATTTCATTTAATTCTCTTTGCAATATAGACCCTTCGGGTTTTTTTTTTTTTTTTTTTTTGAAAAGATTGATGAAGAACCCCCTGCATCCTATTTCTCATTTGAATGTCACCACATATATTGTCTTTGTACCTGATAATCTCATTGCACTTTTCAAGCTCAGCCTTGAATGTTTGTTCATTTCGATTTACCCAGTCAGGATATGTAAGAAGGATAGAAGATAAACATAGAAGCAGCTAGTAGGATAATGAGGATGAACCGATAAGAGAGTGACTGGACCCAAGGCTTGATGGTCCTATTTCAGTCATGGAAGAAGTCAAACTTGCCTCAAATTAGCTCGACACTTTGAGAATGTATTGAGTTGGATAATTATGATGTTTTAAGGTTGAAAGATCGAGAATGAAAATTCATTCGTAGGAAGGAGCACTTTTTTTATGCATTAGATACATCATACATCTCTAGAAAAAAGTAAAAAATTTGGGATACGAATTAGTGGCATAGGGATACAATTCTTTGTATAAGATAATAGGTTAAAATATCATTATTATCATTGTATAAAAAAAGATATGAATGAAGGAGAAAAATATATAAATGCTTGTCAAAATCACAATTACCGTTTGAGTTCACACAAAATTTATCGTTTTCAATGTGAATCAAACATCACTTGAATTTAATGTTAATAAAATTCCTTTTCAGCTAACTTTTCGTTTGAGAAATTTTTTTTGAGTTCTTTAAAGGTATCCCTCCACCGTCCAAGACTAATCCTTGTATGGTGTATATATTATTGAAGTGAATTTTGTCTTTATCAAATTTTTTTTTTTTCATACACACAACCAAAAAAACAAATCTATATTAATATACTTAAAGGACTCGACCAACTATCAATTATGTCAGACTTTAGTGATTGTTAAATGTAAATTTAAGAATGGCTATATTATAAATTCTCCATAAACAAAACATTACAACAGATTTACTATTACTATCACTATTATTTTGTTATAGTGGCGGCAAAAACCCAATTAAGATAGGATTGAACAATTTTTTTTTTTATTGCAGCCGTAGAATGAGATTCACTCATTTTTTTTTTAGTGTTTGTTCAGTAAAAATAAAAAAGTTTCCATTAAACATACTCAAGTAAGTGGTAAGAAACAAAGAAGAAGACGCGGGACCCGCATTGACACAGAACTCGATCGTACCACGTGTACGGACAAGATGGTGTTTCATGATGCAATCGTGGGGAGCACCATCGTTTAACTTTTCCGACAAGCACAAAATCCTCAAAATCTATCTACCTCCTTTACCTCTTAGGGATCTTGCCGTGTTCCTCTACCCCTAACCCTATGTTTGATTCACATACCTCGTTTATTGTGATCGTTGAGTCCTAGGTTTTGGGTTTCACATAATGGAGTACAATAACTAAGGTATGAATCAAAAGCCATGATAATGTCATTGTTGTTTTCCGCTTAGTCCTTACATTAACATATGTAAGTTCATCCTTCTACTGCAATTGCATTTGCCTGCTCTAATGACCCAAATTTACTTGACTCTTTGGTAGCAAGCAAAGATGTGATTTTTAACATTGCATGTTCGATTTTCGTATAAAGCAACCATTTTTAGTTTTGAGTTGAAGTTGATTTTTGTGTGCTCATTAGCAGGCAAATTGGGTGGATAGAAGGAGAGTGTAACATTCCTCAGATGTCTTAAAAGTGCTTCTTAGGAGCTTACTGGGAAGTTTCACTGTACGTTTATTGTGTTATTAACGAGGAGTTTGCAGTGAAGAAGGGAAATGGTATGTTTCGCACTCCATTTATGGAACTTGAGGTTTTGAGTTGCATCTTGGAATGAACATTATTGTCCGCAAATGGAATGCTTACCCCACCTCCTCATGCCCCTGCCTCTCCGTATTTGTGTTGTTGAAACCTTTGATGTTTGAGTTTCAAGTGTGTCCAAAAGTTTTAAATACGACAACATCAAAGGAAAAATCATTATTATTTGTGTTTTATGTTTCATATGTTTTTGTCCATTTTTAACGACAACCAAAACTTAGTGTTAGAAATAGATGAAAGCACTTGCCATCATATTTTATTTTATTTTTTTAAAGTGTAAAAAGAACTTTCCATTATCCAGAATAAAGAAAATCCATGAGGTCAAGATTACATATTAGAGAGAGAGAAGGGAGGGGTGCATCTTGGAAAGCATGAGGGCATGGATTGGTCTAGTAAGGAAATTGTGTATAATCGTTAAGAAAGTGACCATTATGTCCTATTTAAATAATATGGTAAAGGAGTTCCCTGTATCTTTTAGTTGTATGATTTACTAAGCTTTTGTTAGAAATTTACATCTATGTTTTTAGGTTTACAATATGGCAAAGCAGTTCCCTCTACTTTTATTTGCATGATTTTCCAAACATTGATTACGAAGTGATGTTAGTCTGTTGGAAGATGCACTCTTGTTGAGTCTGGTTATATTTTTTATCAACAAACCTTTGATTTTGTGGCCTATGTTGTGCTTTGCTGCAATTCTTTACGGTGTCTGGATAAAAGAGGAATGTTGTCTAAGGGAGTTGACAACCCCGTAAAACTTTGTCAAATCTTTATGACATGGATGTTTTCTATCTTTTGTTTTTCATTTGCTTTTTATCCTTAGGATGCATCCTAAAGTTCATAATATCTGTGGCACAGATTTAGTGTCAGCATTTTTCTCTTTGAAATTTTTTGGGTAGGGGCATCTTTCTAAAGAATTTTTTGTGACAGTCTTTCCACAATCAAGCATTTTGGATGGGAAATAATTCTGGGTCTTTGAATGATGGTGACAAGACATATGACAATTCTTCTAGAATTGAATCCAAACGTGGCCATCAGTGGTTCATGGATGGCCCTGAAGTGGATATGTTTCCCAATAAGAAACAGGCAGTAGAGGCTCCAAACAATTTATTGTCAGGAATGCTCAACTCCAATATTTCTTCATGGGGAAATTCCTCAAGTCTTCACTCTTTTACTGGTCATTTTACTGAACAACTATTTGAGCCAGATGCAGCAACTATGAATTTTGAAGATGCAAACATTTCCTCTGTTAGCATGGATAGCACGTTAAGTGTGGAAAGAAAAGATAATTTGGATCCATTTGGGAATGACTCCTCATTTGGTTTATCCATGTCAACTACATTAGAAGATCCTCGATTAGTTTTTAATTATGATGGAATTAGAAAAGTCAAAGTTAATGAGGTGAAGGAATCTGAGAGTGTCAGATCTGTCCCTACAAATACAAATAATCCCTATGATAGGGGAGTTAGCAGCAATGTGTCATATCCTCATGCATACAACGGGGGTGATAATTCCATATCAATGAGTCAAACCTACAACAAAGGGGATGCGAATATAATATCTATGGATGATGCTTATGAGAGGACAGATAACAATTTAATGTCGATTGGTCAATCTTATAACAAGGGAGATGACAGCTTATCTATTCATCCAACATACAAAGAGATTTGTAATCCACTATCAATGGATCAAGGATTCAGCAAGGCCGATAGTGATGTGATGTCTATTACTCAAGCTTACAAGGAGGCCCATGACAATTCTATGTCAAGTAACCACTTATTCAGCAAGGTTGACACTGGCACCATATCAGTGGGTCACACCTACCACAAGGGGAGAAATGACCTGCCACTTGTTTCCCATTCTTATAACAAAGGAGAGAGCACTATCATATCCTTTGGTGGCTGTGATGATTATGATACAACTCCCTCTGGGATATTTATTTCCAGCTATGAACTGTTGATGGGTCAAGCACCTTCACATAAGTCAGAATCTGTGAATGAGAAAGATTTGGTTAGATCTACTTCTAATTTACTTCCAAGTACGGCTCAGACATCTGCACCTGAAAATGAAAATGTTCCCAAGACAAAAGATGAGATGAAAATGTCAAAGAAAGCTACTTCAAACAACTTCCCCTCCAATGTCAGAAGTTTGCTATCCACTGGAATGCTGGATGGTGTCTCTGTAAAATATAAGGCCTGGTCGCGGGAGGTAAAATTTAGTATTCATGAGTTCATCTTTCACAGTAGCTTATCTTTGATCACATGTCTGGTTCTTCCTATGCTTGTTAGAAGGAACTTCGAGGTGTCATAAAAGGTGCTGGGTATTTGTGCAGCTGTCAGTCATGTAATTTTTCCAAGGTAAGTTTGTTCAATCCTGATCATAGAGGAGATTCCTTTTTGCGCCAAATTGCGGTCTCTGACTAATATCACGTTTCTTCAGGTCATTAATGCATATGAGTTTGAACGACATGCTGGTTGCAAGACTAAACATCCCAATAATCATATTTACTTTGAGAATGGGAAAACTATATATGGGGTAGTACAAGAGCTCAGGAGCACTCCGCAGACTATGTTATTTGAAGTTATTCAAACAATAACTGGTTCACCTATCAATCAGAAATCCTTCCGGATTTGGAAAGGTAATTTATGTTGTTCAGTTAGTACTGTGTTTTTTAAATTTGTCGGACATCTGTATTTTTCATCCAAGATGCTTTATCTAGGTAAATATTTGTTCCTTCTCACATTTTGTCTTTCTTCCTCTTCTCCAGAATCCTTTTTGGCTGCTGCACGTGAACTCCAACGCATATGTGGAAAAGATGAAGCAAAACAATTGTTATAAAGGAGAAATTTGGAGTTGTGAGATAGGACAATCCTTGTTGGGTTCATAGGAGTAATATTTCGATATACCTTTTGCTGACTGGTTGTCAACACTAAAAGTTTTGAATCTTTGTCCTATCTGAGGTTAACTCTGTCTTTTGGTGAAAATAGAAGGGAACCCTGCAAACAAAATGGATCATATGTGTTGCAAATTGAATGTATCATGGCGATATATGATATAATCATGAAGGGAAATTGATTTTGATGTCATGATCTTATTAAAACAACATAATCTTAAGTGATGTTCTCATTCATGTATTTGATGGATTTAATAGTACACTTTTGACAGAGAGGGTTTTGTTAATGAGTGTTGTTCATCAAAAACTTATCCAGCTATCCAGTAGATGTCGGCATATGCAGTTTTTTAATGAGCCATTACCATTTTTTTTTTTATGGATTTAATAGTACACTTTTGACAGAGAGGGTTTTGTTAATGAGTGTTGTTCATCAAAAACTTATCCAGCTATCCAGTAGATGTCGGCATATGCAGTTTTTTAATGAGCCATTACCATTTTTTTTTTGCTGAATGGATAATGTTATATATATATATAGGGTTCGCTTTTTCTGTAGTTACTGCAGTTATCTGCAGTAAGCCCAATACGACGTCGTTTTGGGGCGGAAATCATGGTGTTTTTGTAATTTGAATTTATTTTAGGGTTATAATAGTCTTTACACTTATAATTTTTTTAGATTTGAATACCAACACGATGTCGTTTTGGGAATAAATGCAGATAACTTATCTGCATTAACTGCAGAAACATTTTTTCCATATATATATATAGGGTTTCTCTTTTCTCATGTTACATGAGATAATATCTCTTATGTTATAGACACAACAAGTGGTAGGTCCCACCACTTGTTAAAAAAATAAAAAATAAAAGGAAGATAACACGGATTTCGATGCCTCACAACATGAGAAAATAATCTCAACAACATGAGAAAATGATTTTACATATATATATATAGGGATAAGATCAACTTACACTGGTGTAAGAATAATAAATCTTACACCAAATCTTAACCGTTGATTTCCGTGCATCCAATGGTTGAGATTTATTGGGAATTAAAAATTAATTAATGAGTGAGACCTAATAAATCTTAACCGTTAGATGTAGAAAATCAATGGTTAAGATTTGGTGTAAGACTTATTATTCTTACACCGGTGTAAGATGATCATGCCCCATATATATATATATATATATATATATATATATATATATATATATATGGTTCATTTTTTCTGCAGTAAGTCCAATATGACGTCGTTTTGGGACAGAAATCATGGTGTTTTTGTAATTTTAATTTATTTCAGGGTTATAATAGTCTTTATATTTATAATTTTTTAAGATTTCAATACCAAAACGACGTCGTTTTGAGAATAAATGCAGATAACTTATCTGCATTAACAGCAGAAACCTTTTTCCCATATATATATATATATATATATATATATATATTTATCTTTTTCTCAAACTTTTGTATCTTTCATGTTGGTTTATCTATCACTTATTCCAACTAGTTTCGAATAAAGGTGATGTTGATTTATATTTGATACACATAAAAAATTTCCTCTTAAATTAAAAGGAAAATTCTATAGAACAGCAGTAAGACCTGCAATGCTATATAGAGCTGAATGTTGGCCAGTACATAGGCAACATGAGCTTAAAATGAGAGTAGCAGATATGAGGATGTTAAGGTGGATGTGTGGTTACACGAGGATGGATAAGATAAGAAATGAAGATATTTGACGAAAGGTAGGAGTATTACCGGTGGCTGAAAAGATGAGAGAACATAGATTGAAGTGGTTTGGGCACGTAATGAGAAGGCCCCTGCAGGATGCTCCCGTAAGAACAAAAATATGTTACCAAGAGCTCAACACAATGAAAGGTAGAGGTATACCGAAGCTTTCTTGGGGGAAGGTAATAAAACAAGACTTAATGGAGTGAGATATATATTGGCGGACGGTGTGCCTTAGAACGGAATGGAGAAGATTTATAAGCATGGTGGAGGGTTAGACCCGTTGTTATTCCTATGTTACATATGGTCCATTTTTAGTCTTTTTCCTCTTTATTTCCCCATGTCTTCTTTTCCCCTTCTTTTATTACTTATATATATATATATATATATATATATATATATATATATATATAGAGAGAGAGAGGAAAGTTATACTTACAACTTATTTTCATTTACAACCTCTTACAACCATATATTAACTGTTGATTTTCACCAATCAACAATTATCATTTATTGTGAATTAATAATTAATTAATGAGTTTGATTTGTGAATATAATAACCGTTGATTGACGGAAATCAACGGTTAAGATATGGTTGTAAGAGGTTGTAAACGAAAATAGGTTATAAATATAACCTTCCTTATATATATATATATATATATATATATATATATATATATATATATATATATATATATATAGGGCAGTATATTCTTACACTGGTGTAAGAGTTAGAAGTCTTACACTCAATCTCGGTCATTGATTCACTTGTATTCAATGGCTCACATTACTAAAAAATTCGAGCCCTTAGATATAATTGAGATTAACGGACAAGATTAAGAGTGTAACTTACACTGGTGTAAAATGATCCTGACTCTATATATATATATAGGAAAATGATCCGTTTACAAAATTTGTAAACAAATTTTTGCAAATTACACTATGTACCCCCGGGAGAACATAGTGTAGTTTGTAAGAGTTTGTAAATAAAAAGTTTGTAAATATAACACTCCCTATATATATATATATATATATATTATTACTATTTTATTTTATTTTTTTATTTTTATTTTATCTTTTTTCAACTTTTTAATATTTTTTATTTGAGTTTATCTATCACCGACCGCAATTAATTAAGAATAAATGTGTGTTGATGTTAATGTTGATGTAAGGAAGTTGATTGGTACCTTTGTAATTTATTGCTGGTGTTGATACACTGCAACAATCTAATGTATTTTCAAAGTTTCACTTCATTTTGTATCTTACAAAATATTATAAATCTCTGATCACGTAGATCATAATTGAAAGATCAAACGACTAGGAACAAACACAGCTGCTTTTGCTCTATATAGACATCTGGAAGATGTACAGTAGCTGGAATGGTCCTAGGATAGTTGAAACTTACATAATAATTTGTAAACTTTCCTCATACTTGTTCATCTCGTGTTGTGACTCTAGTTCCAAAATCACTCTTAGTGGTGTCCACGTTAGCACAATGTTCCTTCTTAGCATTGCCCTCAACTACCGGCAATATAGGGGGCTCTTGAATAATTGGATTTGGTGTGTTGTAATCTTTGCTTTTACCCCACACCACAAGATACAGGCCCAAACAAATGACAACAGCACCGATCACCCTGCAACATTTACCATATTCCATTAGTTACTTTTGATTAAGCTCTTTGGGCATGCAATTTCATAGGTACTAGATTTTTATGTTTACCTTCCAAGGAATATTTGCTCAGCAAGAATGCAGTAGCCCATGACAGCCACAATTACCATGCAGAGGGGATTAAATGCTGTCACGTAGACTGGGCCTCTAGTTTTCATCACTACTCCTTGCAAGTAATAAGCCAATCCTGAGCAGACTATACCCTGTATGCAAATATTTTCTTAATTTAATTAGTTTATTATAATGAGAATTAGAGCTTAATTGTAATTGGTATACTAAACGAGTCTTGGATTTGATGGATGAGTAGATATTATCATTATGTACTATTTAACGATTATTCTATGTTAAAATATTGGTTTAGTGAGTCTAAACTTAAGGTAAAATATAAACTTTACGAAGGTAAAATGATTTCTGCGGCCGCTGCACCCTAAGAAGCACCGATACTCTTTAAATTTTTTTTCCAACGTATCGGAAACGTATTGTTTGGTAATCTACATCCTGTATCATCGAATAACATATCGAAAACGCGTATCGGTGCTTCATAGGCTACACCTACAGCAAGTCAGGATACGGCACCGGATCTTAGGATACAGAACCGGATCCTGATTTTTTTTTTTTTAAAGAAAAGCTGTGAGGCCCACTTTTCTGTGTTAGCTGCCAGAAATAATAAGCCCCTATATGAACGACACAACGAAATGTATTTATATTGTCTTCCATACAACATGTTCCATATAATATGTTTTTCTTATATTTTCAGTAGTTTGGGTTGGGTGGACTTACAGTGTAGACAGAACAGAGCAGACTCGTATCCCATTTTAGAGCCCAAACTGAAGAATTGCCCCTTTCCATAATCATAGCAACTGCGGCACCTTCAACTGTGCCCAATAGGCATATCAATGAGGCAAGAGAGAGTGGGGCAGGGTAGGAATTAAGGGTAATGGACTAGATAAAAGATGAAGCTGTGTTAGCTAGAACCAATCAAATTAAAATTAAAAAAAAATAAAATAAAAAAGTTTGATTTGGAAATCTTTTATGTTATTAGTAATTGAATAATGACTAAGAATAACTCACTTGGAGTATCACAAACCAAGCCCAACAAATGCTTCCAATTATGATCATTACGGATCCCACTATTGTATGTTGAGTGTCTGTCCCATTATGTTGCTCGTTATTGTTATTGCCTCCTTGTGTCCCAAAAAGTATTGGGCCTTTCATAAGTGTCATGACCATAGCGCCCCCAACAGTTGCTAGAGTTCCCACCAGCTTTGCTTGGCTGCGTATACTTCTTATTTTTATCTTCTCAAGCCTGAAACACAAGCAGAGACATTGCCTAAGGTCTAAGGACATAGATACTCACTACTGAGAACTCAACTAAGCCAAGCCAGTGGCAATTCATGTAATATATTTTTAGGAAAAAAATAACAACTTATGTATATTAAATTAAAGTCAATTATCTTTAAATTAGTTAAATCGTTTAATGTAATTTTTTTTATAAATGACATATCTTATTTTTAACTTCTCTTCTTCAAAATTTTAAATTCAAATTCTTAGAAATTAATTATATATATTTTATTTTTTTATTTTTAATCTATATTTTTTTATTTTATTTAAATTAGGGTATGCAGAAAATTTAGATATAAACAGAATATATGTGTGTATTTGGAAATAACTGGCTTAGCTTAAACAAAATTTTTTTTTTTTTCAAACTGAAAAAACAAGAGGGGTAATTTTCTGTTAGCTTAGTCATCTATGTAAGAATCTCTTATTTTTCAGGTTGGGAAGCATGACCATCAACACATATATCTGATGAGTTTTGCTACCATATATGAAAAATTCTTTAGTCAGAGAAGCGAAAACAGTGTTTAGTTACCTAAGAATCCAAGCGAAGAAGAAGGTAATGGCAGGAACAACATTGAACATGGCAACTGCAAAGGTTGCTGTTGTGTACTTCATCCCCAAAAAATACAAATTCTGGTCAATAACTGGCCTGCAGGTAAAGAAAGTAAACATCAGAGTTAAGTCATTAATTAATTATTTTTCCATTTATGGAAAATGTGTTTAGCAATGTAGAAAAATTACTCTAGCAAGCTTAGCGCCACTATCTTCATGAAGATTGAAAGTGTCATCTTTGGCCTTACTTTCCTGTTAAAAAAATGCACCATAACTTTCAATTTTTATGTTCACACAAAAAAACATACACAAAGACACAAAGGGAAGAGAGGTATATATACTTCTCAAGAACCAAAGCAAAAGGAGCTAAGACAATGAATGCAACAGCATGGCGATACACAACAAATACATAATTACTCATCCCCTTGTTCATTGCAGCCTTGGATAAAATATCCATGATTGCATATCCAAACTGCAAAGACACAACTGCTATTAGTGGCTTTGTTCTTTGGAACCAATTCTGTATATGTTGGTTCTCCATCCTTGTGAGAGCTTCAACAACGTTTCTCTCTCTCGAGCCACAAGAATGGATAGATATAGCGTATTGTAGGAGGCTTATATTTATATAGAAGGGTGACGTATAAAATTGTGTAGTGCTTTCAAAACAGTAGTGTATCCACTACGTTCAGATATAAGAGTTGATTTATTTCACGCAAATAAATCGAGTTAAAACTTACAAATTTGAACCATATAGTGTAATCCACGCATCCTTCTTGAAAATACTTTAAATTAAACGTTAGTCCTGTCTTTGTTTGATCCTAGTGCATCAATGTTTCTATTGGATCTATGAGTTAGTGGTATTTGTGAAGCTGGTAGATCACTGTGCATGAATAAAAAACTAAAAGCTAAAGAGGGTATATGCGCGTGCAACGTGACAGATAAAGATATCAGGGAGGAGATATTTTTTTTACCACGTAAATACAATTATCAGGAATATGGTGAGAAAATAAGTTTGGTAAAAAAGTTAAAAAAAAGTTGTTTGGTTAATCAAAATTTAACTAAAAAAATTGGATTAAATTTTGTAAGTCTTTATTTAGTTGAAGGTAAAATATTGATAGAAAAATATGTTGAAATGACGAAATAACTCTTATAATTAACTTGCATAATAATAATAATAATAAATAAATAAACAAGAATATCCCACCACAACCAAAAGAGAGATATATCTCCCTCTCACTGTATCGTCTTCCTCAACCCTTGTTCTCCTTTTGACGAAATCAGGAAAATTTAATTTATTATTATTTAAAAAAAAAGCATTGTAATCCCAACAAATCAACCATTCTACCAGCAAAACACACAAGCAGATCGAAATGTTGCCGAACAAAGAGACCCAAAATAGAAACATGGAGGTGCGAAGCAGAAAAACGCAAAACACACGGGCCGATCAACCTAGGCTGACACTAGCAACATTGGGAATGCCCAGAAGTGGAGATCTGGCACCAAAGTGAAACTTTGATTCGTCCATTAGGGTCGTCTTGCACGGATGTTCTCTAGTTAGAAGAGGGTACTATTGTCATGTTTATCGTCCACTTTTTTCATTTACCTGATTTTCTTCAAATATCACATGGAAAATGGTAAACTTGCACAGCGTATTTCTTCCATCTTTTCGTACCATTCACGAATTCTGGGCAAAAGATTTTGCTGGGTAAATTTTTAAACATATGTTCTATCAAACAAGGACAACAATGAAAGCCAAACTCAGATGATTGGGTAAGTTTTCAGAAAACCCATACCAAACACTACTTTAAAAGTTTCAAGAAGATACTTGTCAGACATATCCTCTTATTCATAGAGGGATTTTACTTCAATCAAATGGCGGACACTGAATTTTTTATCATGGGAGACGAAAATAAAATATCAAAACTATAAGTGTTATTAAGAATAATAAGATTAATTAATTTTTACAAATATTGTTTGGAGAAAGCATACCTATTAGCACTGGTGGTCTACTGGTAATAGAAAAATATCATTTTATATATAATAATAGGGGAAAATATTTCTGCAGTTAATGCAGATAAGTTATTTGTATTTATTCTCAAAATGGCGTCATTTTGGTATTGAAATCCTAAAAAATTATAAATATAAAGACAATTATAATCCTGAAATAAATTAAAATTACAAAAATACCATGATTTTTGTCTCAAAACGACGTCGTATTGGATTTACTGCAGATAATTTATCTGCAGTAATTAAAAAAAGCGAACTCATAATAATAATAAAAAAATCAAAGTTTAAGGAGGATTCTTTGTTGAAACATTTTGATAAAAACAACATATTTAAGAACGAAGAGTGGCGATAATAATTGGATCCTAAATCGTATAATCTAGACTCTGATGTCACGTGTAAAATTAATCCGTAAATTATATGAAATTTAGAACACCTATAATTAAATGTACTTTGTCATAAGTGGATGAATAATTGGAGATCGCGCTAGTTATTGCTCGTCCCTCCCTTTTGTCCATCTTGACTTGGAGGGACCGTTTTGATCGTGGATAAGACTCATTTTGCTTAACTACACGATGGACGAAAACACGGGTCGAGAACCGTTTTCAATTATTGTTATCTTTTGGAATTGTTGAACATATCATTCATAGTAAAGTAGCTTTTATCATATCTGGGGACTTGTTTTAGAATTTTTTTTGTGAATTGTGTCCTTGGTTTTTGCATTCTGCGACTTTGTTGAAGATTTATATGGACAATTTTGGCTGTCCGATTCATAGGATAAGCAATGATAAAGTTGTTTTCATCAGAAGTGCTAGTTTATTTAAAACTTCAAAGAATGAAAGCCACTCCAATGAATCCGTAACCGAAGGCGACATATGAAGTATGATTAAGATCATCATATCCTGTTTTTTCAGTTTTGCTTTCTACAAGAATGTATTTTGGTCTGGGGACATGACTTCACACACAAAGTTTGGTAAGCATCAAGTCCACTTTGTGGCTTAAATCATTTTAGCGATTCCTTCTTTGTGCTTTGAGTATGTGAAGGCACTACTAGCATGCATATTTGGATACTCCTCCTCGAGAATGGAACCCCATTATTCCCCGAATTTATTTTCATATAGCAAGTGGATATGTCATCCCACTCGTATATAGTGTTAATAACAATGACTCAGATGTTTGTATTTTTATATGGCCCCCACCATTTTTATGCTTTGGTGCCCATGGTCTGCCCGTAAGCGGGTCCGGCTGCAACATTTGTTACCAGCATGGTAGAATACAAGGAAATGATATTAGGAGGTAAAAATTTATCAACATTATCAATAAATTAAGAGGGTTTAGTAATGTTTCTTCCCCACCAGATAATTTTATTTAATGCACGTGTATAAAGTGATGAATCCCACTTTTTTTTATTTTGTTTCTTGTTCTCGTAAGGTCTTATCTACTCATATGCATTGCCAGTAAATAAAATTATCTTCTACTTACACATAAATATTAACATTTTAATGGTTTTAATATTTCTACGGTAAATGTAAATAAGTTATCTACATTCACTTTCAAAATGATGTCATTTTAAGGTAAAAAATTATAATAAAAAAGACTTATAATCTTGAAATAAATTATAATTACAAAAATACCTTGATTTTTCCTCTCAACGTAGATAACTTATCTACAAAAAAAAACGAACTCAATTTTAATACTTATAATTCCACTAATTACTTTTCAAAATAATTTAATTTAATAATAAAGTTATTAATTGCCTCTCTTAAAGGCAATCTTACTTTATGTCATATCGAAAGATTGGTAGATTAATGCACTTTCTAATAATAACTAGTGGTTGAAATTTGTATTTTATACTTCAATTATTTGGGTTTGAACTGTTCTAAAGTCATCAATTACAAAAATTAATTACTTTTTTAGGGTAGGAGGGGTCTGCCCTTACCATTGTTTGAAATCACCTAGTCTCAATTAAGCAGAAGTTAGCCCAAAATGCTCTTTCCTTTTTCTATTAATTGGTGGACACAACAAAATAGAAATTATAGCATCCAACACTAGATAAATAGAAGGCTACAAAAAAAGCGTTATTGTCAAATACTTACGTATACTCAATTAAAATAAAGGAGCATGGAAGAGTAAAGAAAATGAAAAATTCGCTTAATTAAGGTATTAAATTCAAGTCATTGTGAATGTAAAAAATTTCAAGAGAGCTAGCTCAATCATGATGTAAATGTTCTCTACTTGAATAAAATTATCTCCCGAAAATAATAACTGTGATTTATATAAAAAAAAAAATGAACAAATGGTCTTGCTTTCCCTTATTTAACCAGATATATGTAACATTTCTGTCACCGAAACTATATAAACGTTATTAATGAATTTGGTTGGATAAACCATCACCCGCCTGAAGGGTTGCTCAATTCCCTTAACTGATATAATTTATACAGAAAACGTTTTGTCACTTATATATTTTTTTTTACCCTTTTATAATCATGTAAACCGGAGAGTGTATAATTATAATATTAAAATTGTATTTTTTTTTTTTAATTTTCATGTCAGCCGACAGTTTTTGAAGAAAGAGAAAAAAACACAATTTTAATATAATTATATACTCCGAAAAATACATAATTATAAAAAGATAAAATAACATAACTTCCTTTAAAAGAACAAATTATTTTCCCTAATTTATATCCTTACGTTTTATCTAGAAATGAGAAGAACGGTTTTTTAATACTTTATTGATACAAAAAGTCAAATGAGATACACTTTAATATCTTGAAAGATGTTAATTTAAACATTTAGTTTAATAATAGACAAAGGAGGATAAGAATCTGCTTAAAATATTATTCGTATGCAAATGATTTTTTTTTTCTTGGTACATTATTCAAATGAAATTTAATTCCCTATACATATGGCATCACTGAACCTTAGCAATACAGAATGTTTTCTTTTATTAATATCCGCTTACGAATTTCCAATTTTAAATTTGTGGTTATGGATTATCCACCGAATGTTGGTTGATGCGAATTGCGAACAGATATTGTTCCCTTGTAGTTCAATGTGGCAAATAAAATTAGCTCGAAATTAATGAGTGCATGTGAATCTCAATATTCGCTTGCATAAAATTCTGCTTCCTGATTTTTCTGCTTCCTGATTTTTCAAACTTTTTAAGGTGCTTTTGCAGTGCTATATGATCCTCCTGCATAAAATTAATGAGTGCATTAGGTCAACACCCACATTTCATATGACACAACCTCGCCAGTCGCCATAAAAGAATAGGAGAGGTTTGGCAAAAGCAAAATCATAAAACCTATTGGTGGTTATTTTTTTGAGAGAAAAGGTAATAAATTAAGATGGGAAAGATTCGTTTACAATTTTTTTTTTATAAATTACATTAAATATGATCGGTCATAAACTCTTTATTGAAAGATGACCGGTCGTGTGGTTTGTAAGAGTTTGTAAACAAAAAATTTGTAAATATAACATTCTTCAATTAAGATATATTCTTTTCTGTTTTTCTTTTTGGAAATATTCTTTTCTATTCTGTTTTTCTTTATTATTAATTTCTTTTC